ATTAAGCTGCTTTGACAGTTTTTGTTGTCACACAGCTTTACATCTCCCAACTGTGCCCACGAATGTAAGTTCAAAGTACGTCATAAGACATTTAAAAAAATCATTTTCTATCGATCTCCTGTGGCTACGTCGAAATGGGTTGAGAAGCATGATAACTGTTTGGGATTAAATGCGCCTATATTTTTAGGTGCTGCCGTTCCCCACGTGTTGTTTTCCATTTAGAACTCTTAAGATTGCCTTTTTATATATGAAGATCACATGGAAATAAATGAAATGCCACGCGGATTTCTGCACGGCCCGGCAGCTGCCAGAATCTCATCTGGAGGACGGAATCGCCCCCTCCGCAATTTTGCCCGAAATGGGGGCATTGAGGAGCGCGCAGAGAATAGGTCTATAACTCGTTGGTCGGCTGAGTGCGGTATGTGGGTGCTCAGCCTTACCTAGTGCACCACTGCAGAGGCTTCTGAACGCGTCGTCAGTCTTGTGGATTGAGCTCTCTGCTAGCACCGTTTTGTTCTAAAAATGTTTGTATCACTTCTGGCAGAGAAGTTTTTGCGATCATAAACAAATCATGCTGGTTAACACCCAAAAACTTCGCATTTCACCACGTTTATAGCTTGAGAAGCTTTTTGTATTGCTATTTGTATCTGAAGGCAGTGAAATATTGGGCTTGTTTTTACTGGCACTATGTCCAAGTATAAATGCCAAGGATCGACAACACCTTGTAACAAATACACCAGCCGAGGAATGTGACTAAATGTGCCGCTCACCTTGTAACTATCTTTTTCAGCCATATCGGCTGTCGTCTTGTTCGTGAGGATACACCATTGCGACGGACGAAGGCAGAAAATATGTTCGATGGAGAAAATCTTCTTATTCCTAACGGTCTTCCTCGGCGCAGGTAAGTGGGCGTATGTAGCCACCAGTATGTTACGTTGTTGTGTGTACACATGAGCCATGTATCAGCTCAAGTTCTTGCCTACAAACTGCATGGTTTGAAGTCCCATCTTTAACACAAAGCTGGTGAAATGTGAACGGTGGGATCCGTTTTTGACCGGATTGAATGGGTTAGGGCCCAATACGCAGGCCTCCCACTACTCACCTTCCCCGGAAAACCGGGGCTGTGGTCTCAGCGCGGTCCAACCCGGCTGAACCGTGCCCCGTCTGTAGCTCCCCGGACACCCGGGGCTGTTGTCTCAGCGCGGTCTAACCCGGCCGATCTACACCCTGTCCCCGTCTGTAACTCCTCGGACACCCGGGGCTGTGGTCTCAGCGCGGTCCAACCCGGCTAAACTACACCGTGTCCCCGTCTGGGGCTGCCCGCACGCCCGCAGCTCTGGTGTCAGCGCGGTCTCACGCCGCCCGCCCGTCGCCCGAGCCGGCCAGCCAGCTGACTGGGCGAGCGCGCTAACGAAATTCCGCATGGAAATGTCGCGCAGCCCGGGACCGTATTAATGGGGGCATTCCGCCAAAGTGATCCCGATCGGTCAGCGGCGGGAAGGACGACGCATACATTAAGGAAGCGGGGCGGGACGGGCTCAGATCAACCGGCGACTAACCGGCCGCTCAGGGAGTGGCCGACCGGGGAACGAGCCCGGGGAGCGGCCAACCGGGGAGCGAGCTCCGGGAGTGGCCGACCAGGGAACGAGCCCAGGGAGTGGCCAACCGGGGAACGAGCCCAGGGAGTGGCCGACCAGGGAACGGGCCCAGGGAGTGGCCAACCGGGGAACGAGCCCAGGGAGTGGCCGACCAGGGAACGAGCTCAGGGAGTGGCCGACCAGGGAACGAGCTCAGAGAGTGGCCGACCGGGGAACGAGCCCAGGGAGTGGCCGACCGAGGAACGAGCCCGGGGAGTGGTCAACCGGGGAAAGAGCCCAGGTAGTGGCCGGCCGGGGAACAAGCCAGGGAGTGGCCGACCGGGGAACGAGCCCAAGGAGTGGTCGACCGGGCAGAGACGCATGCCACGTGATAGCTGCATCCGCCGGCGGGACGTGGCCGACAGGGGTCGCCGATCGCCAGTTGGAACGAGGCGGGGCTCCTGGTGACACTCTGCAGAAGACAAGCCCCGTCCGTGTGATGTACATCGTAGGGATGGGGAAAGGGAGATCCGGCAGGGTTGGAAATGAAGCAAATCTCGCTGGATTCATGCAGAGAAAATCACGCTGGCTGATGTCTGATGTTCGCTGGCTGCTATAACATGGGCTGATGAGTAATCAACGTTTACGCATATCCAAAATTGTGCTTGGCTCCAGAGAAATCTCACCTGCTACAGAATCAGTTCTGATGTAGCCGGGCTCGAATGAGGTTTCGCTGGTTTCCTTTTCCACGCTAACACTATAAGACAGGAATACACTCAAGTACCAATTTTGGGATGCAAGGACATCGGAATATGGAGCAGCGAGAGCCTTGGTTTAGCGTTAGGGCTATCTAAATTGCTTTGAAAACTAGTTTTAATTTAGAGGCAATCTTTTCATCAACATGTACAAATTCGTGATTTCATGTTTGTGCTGCTCAGTGATGTGCTCCCATGGAACTTAATCCGCAGACATAAAATAGCGAATTTATACAAGATGACAAAGTAAGACCGCTTTCAGAGCAAATTTACCAACCATTTTGATAGGCCCTCCGACAAACTATGGGTTTTTTCGCTCCTCCTGCTACTCGTGCATTTCAGATCTGCTACTAAATTAGGTCGCTGTCCTATAATTTATCCACCAATCATCATAATTATCCCCTCTCCACATGCTAAAAGGATTGGAAACGAATGGGCACAAGACTGAAACTGGGCCATATTTCGGCTCGATGTGTCGTGTTGCTGGCAATGAATTTCCAGTCAGATGACGCTCATGGCACTGTAAGACGTCCGCCGCCGTGGCTGCCGGCTCGTGAGAAGCGCCGGGCGACAGTGTGCTGGGTGTTCTGGGATGAGCAACGCGGCGCTGACGCAGACGGGCGCCGAGCTGTCCTCGCAGCGCTGACGCAGACGGGCGCCGAGCTGTCCTCGCAGCGCTGATGGGGACGGGCGCCGAGCTGTCCTCGCAGCGCTGATGCGGACGGGCGCCGAGCTGTCCTCGCAGCGCTGATGGGGACGGGCGCCGAGCTGTCCTCGCAGCGCTGATGCGGACGGGCGCCGAGCTGTCCTCGCAGCGCTGATGGGGACGGGCGCCAAGCTGTCCTCGCAGCGCTGACACGGGTGGCCGCCGATCCGAGTTATTTATGAGAGTCATTGGAATCGTATATATATATATATTGCTGGCACACGTCTGCCAATGATGTAGACCAAAAGTACATCAATCGGTCTGATCGGTGTCCGCCACCTGAAACAGTTCCTTCCACAGCCACTGCTGCTGACCATCGCACAGAGTGATCTCACACGTGAGATGCTGCAATTCAGCTTACAGCCAGGGATCAACTGTTAGAGACACCAGACTGCTGAAAGTAGTTACCTTCACTACCAAAGTAGTTACTGGCCTCTGAAAGCATGACTACGCGTCTCGCGCACGGCATGACCTGCACTTTGCCACGCCCAGCCAAATGTGCGCCGTGTAAAATGCGCACAAAGCCCGTGAGAGAAGACAACCTGCGGATCGGGCCCGTATGTTTTGAACATTCGCCGACGCGCCGACCTGCGGCTGTTCTACCCGCATGGAGCAAAACCTGCACCCTCAGCAGCGCACGGCAGCGGCGAAGCGTCCTCCGGTGACCTCTGAAGCCACAGTTCGGGTGTTCACAAACTACAACACTCTTGGATCGGCAGGGGATTTACCAGGGGCACACTCCATGGCAGATCCTTAGAAAAGCCAAACAGCACCTAGAAACAACTGACGATAAGCTCTGTTCTTCAAGCCAGTCAGCTTATCGCGGCACGAACACAGCCAACGGCAGCTCACAGCCTTGCACTGAACCCAGCGCATTGTCATGTGGCGAGCATTCGAGCCCATCTGTCTCAACTGGTACGATGCTTCACAACACCAGGTAGCAAACTGATCACGTTCGTCGCAATATCCGATAGCCAGCTACCATTTTAACGACTAGTAGTAAGGATATTTTTATGTTTTTTATGCTTTTTAATAAGTGAAGTGAATCTTGGCTGAAATAGCTGTGAAAAGCGTTGATCTGAGGGGTATTGGAAAAAATGTTTCACCACAAATATGTACATCAGCACTAATAAAGTACAGTTTGCATTATTTTCTGTCAGCTGCTAAGAACTATCCTGACTAAGGGTTTTATGTTTGGAAACATCTCGTATCTCAACTTTCTCATACAGCAAAACGTCAGCGTTTTGACGTGCGTTTGTACAAGCTCGCGCTGCAAGCGTTAGCGAGTGCTGACAACTACTAAACCTTAGGGTTCACCTAACTGGGACGGTTCAAATGGCCCGGTCTGGTGTAATTTGTTGTTATTTTTGCGATTTTGTCACGCATTGGCTTACAGAAGTGTCCGTTTTTGTCAACGATCATATCAGATAAATCGGAAACTTTTTCACCGCTGGCGCACGACGGCAGAACAGTGGTATTTTGCACGCCAAGCGGCTTGTCCCCGGAAGGATTGCCAGTGGAAGTGAGTCGGCTGAATTTGACAATTTTTAGAGCGCTGCGAAGTCATTCTTTTTCAATAGGGCTGTCTGTTACTGTTCGTACATGCACGTGTTCATATGTGCTTATCCTTGTCATTCCTTTTTAACTTAGTGTTTCATCTCTCTGACAAATGACACGCAATAGTCACGTCTTGATGTGAAATGTCACCTGGTGTCAAATCATAATCAGGATGCTTCGTATTAATTAGGTGGCGTCCTCAAATGCCTCAGGCATGGATATCAAAGCCACCACGCAGTTCCGACATGAAACAGTTCTGGTACACCGCAGCGTTAAAAGAGCATGCTTGCTTGATGTCATCTTACCATTCATATATACCAAAATAACACACTTTCCATCACTACAGAATAATCCTATCAACAAGGCTCATGTCCTGGAAATCAGCCGGCCCTTCCGCACGCTTACTCAGCGCATCAGCGTGTGGAAACTCGCGTTTGGCCTTGGACCCGGCGGGCTTGGGGGTGACGGCCGTCGCCTGTGCCTTGGTGCTGGTCTTGACCTGAGTCGACGTGACCGGGGCATCGCTGGGGGCGCCGCTGGAGGCACCGCTGGTTGTCGGCAGTGTGGTGAGCGGCTCAGCCAACCGTTGCACCGCCTTTATCGTCTCGTTGTCGTTGCTAGCCAGCAGGCCGTTGAGCTGGTCGGAGTCGGGCGGCGGCGCCAGCGTCGGCTCTTCGATGACGGGCGGAGGGCTCAGTGGCAGTTGCCGTGGCACGCAGCTCTTCAGGCACTCTTTCTGCGTGGAGAAGCGGTTTGCCGTGCCGCCACATCCGCCGTAAACGAACGCGTAGCATTTGCTGAAGGTGGGGTAGAAAAACCAGCGGGTGAGCGAGCGGGAGCAGCCGCCCGGATGTGGATTCCGCGTGCAGGCCCTGTCGTACAGCTGCTGCCAGTTCCAGGCCTGCTTTACGAAGTAGGGCTCGAGTCGCCGCAGCTCATTTTCAAACCGAGCAGCATCACCGGGTGCTCCTCCATGATCACTTTGGTAATCTTCCGCTCCCGGTACTTCTTGCCGCCTGGAAGAGGCGCGAGGGTCGGAAAACCGTGGCGACCGCCAGCAGTGACAGGAAGAAGTGGCACTTCCAGCATGTTTGCTACGCACTGATTCTGGACGGGGAAGTCATGAGCTGAGGAGTGCCATTGTTTCATGCTAGATGTCTGTGGTTTACGCCCCAGAAAATTAACAGCCATACGTTACGGTCACGTACGCCCCTTAATCCAGCCTAAACTTGGCTATGTTTTGGAGTAAACCCTTTAGCCCAAGCTGAATTGCGCTCCCTGGTTTCTGAACACATACCCTGGTTTGAACACAGCAGAACAAAATTTCCCAATGTTGATTAAATTAAGAACGTGTCAAATGTACGGTACATGCCGTCTATTCGAAAAACGTCACAGGCATGCAGAATTCCACGCGTAAGAGGTGCTCCCAGCGCGCAACACGTTCTTCAAACGCATTGAGTTACGTTAGTCTGGAACTCAATCCATGCCGCCTGATACCTGTGGCATGGCTACCTGATATTTCCAGTTTCATTCCACCAAACAACATTATGCGTGTCTTTTGAGCTGACAGCAACTTTTCATACAATTTAGCTTACTTCGGCATGCGCGATAGCTATGATCGCCACTGTAATCAACACATGACGATGCAAGGCACGATAGGTACGGCACTGAAAGTGCATTTCATTGACCTAAATGTATAAAATACAAATGACAGCATGTTCTTGCCAATCTGCTACCTGTTGACGATGCACAGCGCAGAATTTGTCCACATGCAATTTCAGCGGGTCCGTGAGGACGCGTCGACTTTGAGTTCCGCTTAATCTGTCACCTGTTGGTACCTATTCTGCTCATACTGTACGTGTGTTACAGTTGACGTAGGCGCGTGCGATGACCACGAGTACCGGCTGATCCGTTACCTGTTGGCCGGGTACGACAAGTCGGTGGCGCCCCTCCCACGCCGCCTCCCAGCCGCTCAACGTGACCTTCGGCATGGCCCTCACCCAGATCATCGACGTGGTATGCACATGGCCCTCACCCAGATCATCGACGTGATATGCACAATGCTTACTCAGCGGTGTCCGTGCTTAAGACAATGCCCGCTATCGGACTGGCGGCGGCCGATATGGCTCGGTTTGTATGGTTGCGGGCTTAAACGTGTATATGTCCTCAGCAGCTCGATCAAAATGTCCAGAGGTGTTTATTTCCAGATTGTTGTGTAAACGGCTCGTGATGGCAATAATGCTAGTCTCAATAATTTTCTATAGTTCTTTTGTATCCTGAGAAGAACCGTTCATGTTAGTGGTGTGCGTTGGTGCAAATCATTCAGGAACATCAGTATCCTGTTTGCAAATAAATGATGAAGCATGCTTTGGTCACACTTGTGCCGTTTCAGCTATCATGTGGGGCTCATTTTGTTGACACATGCTAACATGTGATGGGCATTGTGTTTAGGTATTTGAAATTAAAGCGCTGTTTGAGCATGGAATTATTGTGTTGCAGGACGAAAGGAATCAAATCCTGACTACCAATTGCTGGCTTAATCAGGTAAGACCATAAAATGTTTCTCCTGTTATATGCTAAGCTATATGCATGCCGATTATGGACGTTTAGGGTCGCTATAAGTCGCTATATGGACGCTTAGTCCGCTTTTCCGATCGTCATCGGTGACATTCACCGAGTCTAATGAAAATTCACTATCAGCGCATATTTTGTTCATTATATCTTGTAAAAAGGAGCAGCTAATCTTTTGCCGTTTAACCTTCGCAGAAAGCAGAGGTTTGTGCTGCCCCTGAGGTTTTGCTGAAACAACCTATGGATAACTCAAATCCAAATAGAGAGCATCAAAAGACTCACTTGTAACTAATGAAGTCATGCTTTGGTCTTTTTTGTAGCTCTTTTGGCACAGATGCCTTTGATAAGTTGTTTACTTTCATTCACATACTCGGTTATTGCGCTATTTTTAATTATTCGATTCCCAGTCTTATTTCCGTCCTAACTCGGACCACTGTACAAATTCGTACATCATGTAGCACAAAACGTGATTCTTGTTCGAGCATCCGCCCTTTTATTCTAACGTCTTGTTTTATCCTGCATCAATCGCGAACGCCCCGCTTATCCCTGGGCAGGCCGCTTGCGCCAGGATGAGAGGGCCGAAGGTCCCCTGGTGGGAACACCCGTCCGAGCGACAAGCACACACCATCACAGAGACGTCACTGTGCAGGCTTAGTCTCGATGGTTGGCTTCCTAGGTGCACGTATCTCTGCCCTAACGTTATCCATTCTCCTTATATCCATAGCCATGATTACGATCCCATACGATCCCATATGATCCCATGGCCATAATTGCCAGTAATTACAACTCAACTAGCCAATTAACCAGTGTGTTCAAAGGATGCACTCAACGCTGTTAATTGTTTAAGGCCAACGGATGTCCGTTGATTATCACGAATCGTGCTGACGTTCTCAAAATATGAACATTCAATAGTCATATTTTGCTTGACCCTGAGCGCTACATGGCCACTGAGGTGGCGGTATTCGTGTGATTTTCTATGGCGTCATGCATGTCCGGGCGAACCTTGAAATAGTCAGCACGAAAAATTCCGCTTAAACTTGCGGGCGGCAAGCCAGGAAGACGGCGGTTTTAAGTTTTAAAAGTCTGGAAAGGGGCAAGGCTGTGAAATGCATTGCATGATCTTTAAAATGTCTGTCTTTCCTCAGATTCGCTACAACTGTGGGGAAGTCTCTTAAGATGCGCTATTTCAGCTTCTAACGAGCAGGTCGATACGCAAATCGACTCGAATGAAGTCATGTGGTGTGGTGTGTACGCGCACGGTGCAGACGGTGTACATTGTAAACGCACAGGACCGCCGTCATCAGCTTCGACAGGCGAGCAACATAGGAAGGATTTTTCCTCTGCTCTCCCCCCCCCCCCCCTCTTCCTACACTTCCAGCCCCCTTATCCTGCACTTATTGACTGTGTAACTAGACGTGAAGCGGTTATCCCATCTAGATCTGCACGGCTACCGAACATTATGTAAATGGCAGACAACGTATTTCTTGCCTGCTGCCCTGTGCCGCAGCATCGGTCAGCCATGCCGTCCGCCCCGCGCGAATCATCCGTAGCAGCCGCCCCCTGTCCGCGACCGCTCCTCAAACACCACCGAGCGTAACAGAATCGTTTGCTGGGCAGCCGGGGCGCCCCTCACCACTCGGGCGCCACTAAATAAATCAAACACCGGACGCCGGGACACTAATGTATCTTGCGCTCGGACGACTGTGCGCAAGTATCTTCCGGCCAGCGGGCCGATTACGGCGCGCCGGCGGCCACCAGCTGCGCGGCCGCCGACAATGCGGAGCGCGTCATTAGCGTCGCGGCGCCGCCCGGGCTCGTTACCGACGGTACCGTCGCGGCGCGGCGCTCCGGCGGCCCCGGCTGGCCGGTCGGCCGGCCGGCTCGGCTGCGGTTCGGGGCGCGGCAGCGTCTGGCGCTGGCCGATTGCGAGCCATGCGAGCGAGGAGAGCGAGCTTCGGAGCCCCGGTGCAAGGCCGTCGTCGGAGCGTGGCGACGGACTGGCGGCCGGGACACGCGTCCGACGTCGGTAGCTGGACCAGACGGAACGAGGGAATGATGTTCGGACGTGCGTAACACGTGGCCACGTACCGTTTAGCTCTCCGCGACTTTCCGACGCACGTTTTCTGGGTGAGGGTGTGCGCTTTTTGTTTCGAAACAGGTATATGGAGGGGAATAAGTCTATAGTTGTAACATCCTTGTGGAAATGGCTTCATCCGTACGAAATAACGCTCCAGAATGCGCTGTAAGGTCACTGCGAACGTTCTGCAGGATCAGCTGAGGCAATCCTGTCACTCTCTAAGATGTGAACACAGATCACTCATTTGTCACATTTAATGTGCAAACATGGAACTTCTTTGCATCGTAATGCACGATATACTGTGATAGGATCAGACCGCTGCATATACGGAATGCGTAAATCTGCTTTGCAAAGCATGAAATGAAGTGGTTCGCACAGTGTTGACAACAAACTTCCCTGATTAGGTACTCATTTTTTTGACAGGTATTGAAAACTGTCTGCGTTCGGATGTTAGTGATAACGAGAATAGCGGATTTCATCAGGATTGTCCGAGCTTTAACGCTGCTTTGACTTGTTTGCGGCCGAGATGGACGTATAATACTGCATCCCATGTTATGAAGAAAACCCGCACACTTTCTTCATATGACTTAAAGTTTGAGCACGTGATAAAGCAGATGCTTCCGCACGAAATTTTTCCAATATCGCCACAAAATAACAATGTGGAGAGATGCGTAGATCGCCGTTATTTCCAACATTCTAAGTTGCCTTCCCTCGTCGTGCAGCTGGAATTATTCGCGGTTGCCGCCTCAGGGTTCAGACCTCGGGCGGTGCAGCCTCGGGGCATTCTGGGTACGGCCGAGAACAGGACATGACAGGGCACAACCTTGCAGGTATCATGACCGGGTTCAAAGAGGTCACAAACCTTATAGGAATCATGACCGGGATCAGACAGTCACGACCTTACAGATGTCTGATGAAGTCATAATCTGACTGCTGGACTGGCATCATTCCAACACGATGTCCCGGAACAACGCACGCGTTGAAGACACGCAGCTGTCTGCTTGATCGTATATGAGGGTGCTTTGTGTTTGTTTCGGTCTTGTTTTGCATTTGCTTTGCCTCTGTGATTGCAAGGCGATTCTCTGGCTGTATCGGCGGCATTCAGACTTTATCCGGCCGGTCTGTCGTAACCTTATGGCTCTGATGGTGCTCATTAAAAATTATTCCGCCCGGAACTCGTTTCACCGACTATAAAACGAAAGGAACGCTTGCCATTTGAAGCGCAGTAGGAAAATAAAACAGGGCAAATATGGTTGTTATGACGTCGGGCTGGTCGCCGCGCTTGGCCCAGTTATGGTCATGCCGTTGCTCATCACAGCCAAGCAGACGGGATTCAAACAAATTAAAAAATAAAAGTCTTTTCTAATCAGTACACGGAGGGAAAAC